TAGAACCGGTTCATCAAATCTACCGATGATCTAATGGTGATTTTATGAAAACCTAATGAAAATTTTTAAATAATGCTATGATTTTTTTAAAAAAGTCAATTAATTTTTTTTAAAAAAGGAAAGTGCTTCAGTATCAGACAAAACCCCTACCGCCCACCATGAAAGCTGGAACGCCCACTAGTGACTGCCACTGAATTAGACTATTTAGGTTTTTTTTTAAAAAATCAATTATTCAAATTATTTATTAATGCAAAGTGTCATATGTTACTCATATAGTTGATTTGAATTATCAGATCAAATCAAATCTCACCTCCACGAATCTATATGTACATATGTACCATGTTTCCCCAAAAATATGACCTGTCCCGAAACTAAGGCCTTGCAACATTTTTCTGGTGGGCAAAAATATAAGCCCTCCCCCACAAATGAGCAATCTGGACAACCCCCCCCCCACCTCTGGCCAGGCAGAGCGCCGCTCACCAACCTAGCGGTATCCCGAAGGTGCCAAGCCGCGGGAACCAGTGGGGTGAAGGTGATCACATTGCTTGGTGCCTTCGGGATACCCTAGGTTGGTGAGCGGCTCTGTGCCCAGCTGAAGAGCGGTTGTCGGGCAGCTGCTCTCTTGCAAGCGGGCTCCCAAAGAGCCAGGAACAGCCTCAGGGGCGAACAGCTATGTTGCGCTGTCGCAGCAGCGCAGCACAGCAGCCATGAAGCGACCACACTCACGAGTAGCCACCCGTCAAACCCCCTTTTCAGTTGGGCACAGTGCCATTCACTGACCTAGGGGTATCGCTAAGCCGCGTGAGCACCTGTTCGCCGCCACCCGGTTCTCGTGGTTTGGCGCCTTCGAAATGCCAGTGAATGGCGCTCTGCATATCTGGAGAGGGGGGTTGCACGAGCGGCTGTTCTGCTCATGCTCACGCGCCTCCCAGCCTCACAATGCCCTGGCCCAGCTCTCTCTGCAGAGCCAGAGCACCTCTGCTGCTGCTGCTGCCACCATCCCAGCATGGCTTTTTCAGCGGCTTCCAAACCAAGTCTTCCAGCAGTGGCCACTCTGGACGTACACTCTATGGTTGTGGGCCAGCTGATGGCAGAGCATACTCCCAGAGCGTACAACCATACCCCTAGTTTAGTGAATGGCGCTGTGCCCGGCTTGAAAGAGGGTTTTCCGGGTGGCTGCTCATGAGCGTGGTTGCTTGAAGGCTGCTGTGCTGCGCTGCTGTGACAGCATAATACAGCCATTCGCCCCTGAGAGCAGCCACCTGGCAACCCCAAAACAATAAGCCCTCCCCTGATAATAAGGCCCAAGCCATATTTTGTTGGTAAAAAGAAAATAAGACCCTGTCTTATTTTCGGGGAAACACAGTACAAACATCTATCCAATTGCAAAACCGATTCAACTCATCTGAATAATCTGGGGATTCAGTTGAAAAATTCCATTCTAAGGGATGGTTGATAAAATTGCCTTTGATCTGTAGCTTCACACAAACTATAGCTAAAAGTAATTGGTTTGCTGAATCCTTCTTGGAAGACATTTCAAATTAAGCAACCATTACCACTTCTTCAGAAATGAGTTCATCGGGTTCTTTATACTTATGCACAGGCAGGGGAATAATATAACGATGATGAGAATACACAGCAAGAGAATGCATCCTCTTATTTGTTTATAATTTACTAGTCGATCTTTTCCCTGGGCCATGTTTTATTTCATGAATTAGATTTATGGCATATAGGTCTCTATACTGGGGATTACTCTTTTATCATCATGCAACAAATAAATGTCATATTGGCATCTTCACTAAGAGGACTAAGACCATCCCGCTAGTTAGAACAAGAGAGATCAACTGTAAGCAGGATGTATTGTATAAGTAGGCAGACAGTATGGTGCAATGGTTAAATATTCGAACAGGACAAGGAAGACCAGATTCAAATTTACTCCTAGACATGGAAGCTTATTGAGTGACTTTAGGCCAGTCAGTTTTTCCAAGTTCTAACTTTAAAGGTGTCATGTTGTGGAGATAAAATGAAAGAAGCTCCCCATATAAGCTATCTTCAGGTCCCAAGATAAGGCACGGATTTAAATCTAACAAGTAAATAAAAGTAATCTCCTCCCAAATTCAATTTTAGCAATAGCAATAGCAGTTAGACTTATATACCGCTTCATAGGGCTTTCAGCCCTCTCTAAGCGGTTTACAGAGTCAGCATATCGCCCCCAACAACANACCCTTATTACATTGTAACAGCTAAGGCGAAGCGCCCATTGACCTGAGTGACATTGAGTTGGCCACACCCATCCAGTCACAAGACCACCAAGCCATGCCTACCCAGCTGGTCATTAGGGCAGAGGACCGGTTGTTAAATTATTTGAATCCCACCACTGGTCTGTGGGTCTGTCTATGAAAGAGCCATTTTCACCATCCAACACAGAAAGAAAAGAATATCTCAGCCTTTTCATACATAGCATTTAAGGAGAGACTAAAATCATTCAGGCTACTTGGAAGAAAGACTCCTAGGAAATCCCAAGGGAAGTTGAAAAAACACCAGCGAAGAAGACAATGTCAAACCACTTTCATTTTATGCCACAAAAACTAAGAAAGTAAGATTTACTTACTTTCTATTTAAAA